CGCACGGATGCAGCAGCGAAGGCCGGGGTGAGAAGTGCGGACTCCCCGACTTCCTCATCCTCATCAAGCCGGGCGCCAGTGTTGTCAGCTTTGCTTGGCGCGGGGTTGCGGGACAGGGTGTCCGCGTTCTGATGCTTAATTCCCGGCCAATGCTCGATGACAAAATTATATTCCTGCAACGCTAGTGCAAAGCGTGCATATTGTCCTGTAAGCCCCTCCGAGCTCATCAGGTACAGCAATGGTTGATGGTCTGTAATCAGCCTAAATGGAGGGCCGCCGATCAGGTGGTGCCGGAACATCTTCACAGCCCACACGGCGGCCAGCATCTCTCCCTTGTAGCTGCTGTAGTTTGCTTCGTGCTTGTTAAGCGAGCGGCTGATACAAGCACACATGTATTCGTTTCCGTCATCATCGACTTGCCCGAGGATGGCTCCTATGCCCTTATTGGAGAAATCCGTGTGCAGTATTAGCGGGCGGCGCAGGATGAGTCCCTCCTTGGTGAATGCAGTCTTGATGGCTTCAAACGCCTCTTGCTGCTTGGGACCCCAGACCCACGGTTCACCTTTCTTGAGGAGCTTGTTCAGATCCGCTGCGAGCTGGCTCATTTGCGGGATGTAGCAGCGGTAGTAGTTGATGAAACCCAGCTGCGTACAGAGCTCAGACACGTTGCGGGGAGGCTGAAGAGCCATGATTGCGGCGACCTTGGCCTGGTGAGGACTGATCCCAAAGGCACTGAGGTTGTGACCCAGGTACTCAATGACGTCAGCGCCGAAAATTGACTTGTCAGGATGGGCATGGAGCCCACAGGCTGCCAACACGTCGAGTACGGCGGCCACATGCTTGACGTGCTCCTCAGGCGTCTGTGACCAAATAAGTACGTCGTCAATGAATGCTACACTGACATCGCCCAGGCCTGCCTTGCCCAGCTCATAATCCATGACGCGCTGAAAGTAGGCGCTGGCATTTTTGAGTCCATACGGCATTCGTGTGTAGGCCATGAGCTTGTTGGAGACCCAGTACGAGGTACGAGCCTGATGCTCAGGTGCTATGGGGATCTGCAAAAACCCCTGCCGCAGGTCCAACTTGGAGAAAATAGTAGCTTTGCCTACGCGCTGGAAAATCTCCTTGGGACGATGCAGNCCATACTTGTCCTGTAGTGTGTGAGTGTTGACAGGGCGATAGTCCTGCACCATGCGGTAGTCGGTCCACAGGCCAGTGTCCGGATCCTTCTTGGGGGCGACGACTGGGTTGACAGCGCAGGCTGTCGGTCCCTGGTATTCCTTGACAATGCCCGCTTTAACAAGCTCGGCTGTCTTTTCGGCGATGACCTCGCGCTCCTTGGGGCTATAGCGTCGAGGAGGCTGGACAATCGGCTTGTCGGTGTCCAGATCTGGCCTAAAGGGCCCTAAATCACCGTGATAGCCAGGCAGGTCCTCCATGCTGTAGGCGAATGCCGTACGCTTGCGGGCGCGTACAACGGCCCTGAGAGCATCATTGGTTTCATTGTTCATGCTGATGCTATTGCCCCAGATCCATCCTCCATCAGGATCCTTTTGGTAGCGCTCATAGGCTGTTGCTGCCATGTTGCCTTCAGGCGTAAATGAGGATACACTGGCAAGTGAAGCGGCTGGGCTGTAGCTTTCCCTTCCCCAGCCGTTGTAGTCAAACCCATCGTGGTATCGTGCGCCTGAGCGCGTTGTAGACGTACCAACGGATTCAGGCACCCAGCTGGCTGCGCTCAGGAGCAGCCCCCCTGTGGAAAGGGCTTGTGTGGCGATTTTTACCCCTGAGGCGCCGAACGACTTGCCCTGCATGGCACCTGCGCCTGCAGCGAGAGAGAGCAGGAGCGTTGCCAGCATGCTGAGTGCTGCAAGGCTTGTCCATGTGCGCTTGGTGACACTGATGCTTTTTGTGTGTAGGGCCTTAGCCCGTTTCCTCTTGCCGCTTCACCGGGGCGGTGGCAAGGGCTCCTGGTGTGTTACGACCACAGGAGTGGCCGCAGTTGCTAAGGCTTCAATCGTAGCTGCTACGGTACTGGTAGCTGCTGATGTAAAGCTGGTGACCGTAGTTGTGATCGCTGATGCTGCCTGCACCAGGGCTGACCTGGGTGTGCTGGCAGACTGAGGTGCTGCATGTGTTGTGTTGTGCTGACCTGCTTCCATTCCCAACCGGTGCTCTGACGCCTGGGTAGAGGCAGCCGTAGGGGTGCTGGCGTGATTGCAGGGACTAACACATGAGTGCTGTGCAGCTGTGCTGGATGATTGAACATATTGCTGACTGTCGTTGCTAACACATCCCCCCCCCAGCTCTG